TTTATAATACATATATTTTAGAAATCGCTGTGATCTAGTCTATCGAAGGCTTTTGTTAAATCTAGATAAATGACATCCAGCTGTGCATGGTCATCGATGGCACTAGCTATATACTGTGTGATAAGAAATGAATTTGTAGTTGTCGATCTACCCTTCTAAAACCGTGCTGTTTCGAACACAGCTGCTGACTCGTCGCCGAGTAAATAACATTATACAGAAGGATTTCGAAAACCTTGAGGAGTTTGCATATTATCCAGATGGGTCTATAATTACTGAACTGGGCAATACTAATGGCCCCAGTATTAAGCCTTGAGGAAGCCCGAGGAAACACGTATTCATCGGAGGTATGACCATAAAGATAGACCTGATGAGTGCGGTTAGACAAGTGCGAAGGTAACAAATTAACAAGCAATTCAAAAAATCCACAAGTACTACGCTCGTGGATCGGAATGTTGCTATCCAACCCATATAACGTTTTTGAGAAGTCAAGATTGATGACGTCCTCTTGATAACGTTTATCGATAGTCTCAGAAATATACTGAGACATAGTAGTTACATTTTTAGTGGTGGATCTGCCTATAAAGAATCCATGTTTTTGAGAGACTATTTTGTTCTTAACAACGAGATGTATTTTGACATATAGGAGGGATTCTAAAACTTTACAGCAATTGCAAATAAAGGACATAGTCCTTTTATGCTGGTAAAATTTGAAATAATTAATTTAAGTATAGGTAATTAATTTCTTATAATACATAATCATCTTTTTGGACTTTAGTAGAACTTCGGACTCTGTCTGTTATAATTTACTTTGGCACATAGCTATGGTGTCAGACCCAACATTATCAATGTTAAAAAGAACTTTTACGAAAATATTTCACTGATTTTCAGCGAAAATCTATGCTCTATGCTCTATACACTGAGCACTGAGTATTTAATGCCTCAAAAGCCAAAATCATTTCCTTTAGGCGAGGTGGTTCAAATCCTCCTTGGAGGTGCTTTTTTCTAAATAACAATCCAAATAATCTAATAGTACCATTTTGAGATTTTGAGTTGTTTTTCTAATAACATTGGCGTCTGGGGTTTATGTTATTTTGGTATCTTTCTTCAAAAGTTTCTTAATGTTGCCGAAATCTACTTCTTCCGTGCATCTCCTTTTGTCTAGAGTATCCAATGCTTTTTCTTCTAGATTCGCCAGAAGAGGTGAGTTTGGTAGTTCGCTTTCGCGTTTATATCTTTGAATGCTTCGACAGCGATACTCATTTCGGCATCATGGGACTATTCGCTTCTTGATAGGCTCCAAAATAACTCATAGGCTTAGGAATGCTATGTGGATCGTTTATATCTAAATTATCTGCTTCGTCGCTTATTGCCAAAGCCTGCACATAACCATAGATGCCCACTTAGTGGTGGCAGGTAATTTCAGCGACTTTTTCTCTTGCTGAATGCCCTGGAAAAATACACCTAGGATTAATTAATTTTTTATTTTTGTTACAATCAACTTGACAGAGTTTATCGTTGTATTAACAGAATTGAATTTCATAAGATCCCCCGTAAGCAAATTCAGTACATGCGACATACAGCCATAAGCTCTGAATATTTTTTCAGCAACAATTTCATCAAATACTTCACTTATCTTCTGGCTCATATATTTTCCCGCATGTCCCGTTTCATCGCATTACACACTGAGGAACTGAGCGAAAGATATAGCTGGTATTCAGCTCCAATGAAGACCGGATAACTTGAAAGCCTCTATCCAATATTTATTTTCTGTTATACTGCCAGGAGTTCTAGAAGCATATGTTTCCAGATAGTCCCGTGAGATACCGTCGCAAAATGACTTAAGCGAGGAAAAAAATACGCTAGCGCAAGATCGAGCGCCATAGCGAGAAGTTGATGGTGCAGTTTTTACTGAAAGTGGAGCAAAAATTATTGTTATTTGTCTCATCTCTGGATAGAAGAGGAACTAACCCAACTTTTTGAAATTCTAAGTTGGTGATCCAAAACATTTTGCTTTTTATTCTTAGTGAATTTCTCTGATTTGTAATTACACATATATTGCTACAATTTGGTATATTGCCATAATATCGTCAAAATACGAGCAGTAACGTTATATTCGAAGAACGTAAATTCCACTAATGGAAACTGCACCGCAACTAACCGAAACAGTACGCTTTAACAGGAATGCAATGTTTCGCACGTTCGGCCTACTGCGACGAAAAAACGCGGAGCGGTCACTTTGATACGTTTCCATGCGACACCCGCCGCAACACGCTGAAATCTGCATTTTAAATGGAGTTTCGTTACTAGTGAGGCAGATTTTACAACTGAAATAGACTGCTAGTAATGGCGACTGTTTTTCTCTTACTCATAATAATCTAACCTGTTAAAAGCACACGCACCTATTTAAAATATATGTATTGGCCAGTAAAGTTGTTAACAGTAATAATATAGTCCCCCAACAACTTGGATTTTTTTAAAGAAGATCCACCATTGCCAATTTAACAGTATATTTCTGAGGCTATGAAGAAAGCTCTCAAATGGACGTCATATATCTCTCATACCTCTATCTCTATCTCTCTGACGCGTCCTTCAAGGCTCAATATTGTGGCCATTATCATTCGACATTTTTGTCCAATGTCATGGTAAGACCTTGATGTCAGTTTCTTGATATACGCGGAGGACGCATTTTTTTAAATATCCCGTGTTCTCTTACTCTCCAGCCAAGTGCAATGCGGTCTCGTTCACCAACATGAGTGTAGATTTTTTTTTTCATATCAGATATCTTAAAATCCGAGAATCTGAAACCAAACCTTCTCACCTTAATTGAAAAATGCTTCACGAGTCAAGTCTTTCGACACCTTGAATCTAAAACCAAAATCATCCCTAGTAGATTTTCTTAGACATTTAAACTCTATACACCCTAACATACGTTTTATAAATAAAAACTCAGATCTAACATTGGGTCGTTGTGTTTACAGAAAACCTACGTACGCAGACCAATACCTCAATTTTCACAGCCCAAAAGTCATCGGTTATCAACTCTCTTGTTTACAGAGTCCTAAAACTATCTCAGCCCGAATCACTGAACACCTGACCTCTGCTCTTCTCTCTAATAATTTCCACATTAAAGATATTAAGCGTTCTATCACAAAATACACTATAGTAATGAGGCCGAAAGCAATTCCTTCACTTACCACATACAAAAAGTTCTTAAAAAAACTAACCAAAACTAAAATTCTTGCATGTACCTGTCACCAATATGGGAATCAGTCACCCTCATTTAGTTCCGCCCCCCTCAAGCAATATATAATCGAGTACAGTGTAAAATGGGAGCTAGTTTCAGCCGAGCTCTGAAGAAGCCAACATCATGATTGGCGAAACGTTACCAAGAAGTTTTGTAAAAAGTATGAGTGTAGCTGTGAAATATGACTATCATCTTTTTGATAAAACTGTCTCCCTTTTTAACAGTTTTTGTGACTTATGAGTAATATTTGACTCGAAATTATCCTTTGTTCCTCAAAGACTATAAATAAAGAACGGATAAAAATGTTATACGTCGGGAATAGTTCGGCATCATGGGTACGATTGTCGTATCGATAGCGTGGAATCAGCGTGTTTTTGAGGTATCTATGGTATGAGTGGGACGGAGTATATCCCCCACAAGGCTTTGTTATTAAATAGATTTGGTTGGTTTTAGGGTGTTTTTTTTTCGATGTATAGAATTTTAAGTTGGCATTGCTGTTCAAGATGGTGACCGATTTAACAGCTGTCAAGTGATTTATTCTCAGTTTGGTTTGGCAATTCATCATGAATAGACTCACGCCTGAACAACGCTTGCAAATAGTGCCCAAATGGGCCCAAATCGAGATTGCCGTTGTTCTGACTGTTGGTGCGCTCTATGGGCTGGTGGAATCATTGGTCCGTACTTCTTTAAAAACGATGATACCCAGAACGTTACAGTCAATGGTGATCGGTATAGAGCTATGATTACTAACTCTTTCATTCCTGAATTGAATAACCATGATGTCCAGGAGATGTGGTTTCAACAAGACGGCGCAACATGTCACACAACTCGTGCCACAATCGATTTATTGAAAGACGCGTTCGGTGACCGCCTAATTTCACGTTTTGGACCTGTGAATTGGCCTCCAAGATCTTGTGATTTAACACCGCTAGTCATTGGTCTATGCGGATAAGCCACAAACGCTTGACCATTCGGAAAACAACAAATTGGAGGTCCAGATTGGACTACGTCCGCGCCAGCCGTGGCGGTCATATGCCAGAAATCATATTTAAAATGTAATGCCACAAGATTATCTTCCAGATAAATAAAATTCATGTCAATCGAATAATCCATGTTTTCTCGCAACTTATAGTTCTATACATCGAAAAAAACACCCATTATAAATAAAGTACCTACTAATAAAAGATTTACCTTCAGGTAGGTAGAAAACAATATAAACAATCTCTTACTACTGTTATCTACTATCTGCAATCTATTTGCCTTCATCACAAGAACCATTCCAGTTTGATAAATGGAAATCACTGTTTCAGGCGATCTTTTTTGTAAAGAAAAATCCTGAAAACTCAAATGCGACATTAAGCTCGAAAGAAACGGACTATCCGCGTTTAACACCTGCATTTGCTTTCCTGTGTCGTTGCGTTTCTGACTGAAGCGGCTGAAACTGAAAGATAAAAGGCCCTCGTATACGTATAGATGTGGACAATAGGCTCGGCGCGATAGCAGTTTGCGATCATTATGGCGGAACGGCGCTTTTCAACAAAGCGCAACATTTATCGGGGTGGAAAGTTAGTTTTCTGGAACATTTGAGGCGGGAAATAGGCTAAACACTTTCGTGCCGATACCGGAGCGGATGCGGATGGTCCCGAGTTTTAACTCTCTGCCTGTTGTTGCTCTCTAAACACCTGAATAAATTCAATGAGGCAACTACATCAACTTCAAGTTCTTTCATTAGGCTCCGCTTTAATTGATATTCCAGGTTCAACCAATTTGGTAGGAAAATTCACCCAGAGCGTGCGCCGAATCGTCCAAGACGTGAAAGACGAGGGTACTGCCAGCGGAGCGACCAAGGAAGACGTCATCGATACCAACGAGCGCCTCAGAGCGGTCAGAGTCAGGATGGACGAGTCCTACGACACGGCCAAAAAAGCACTGGTTGGTCTGATGTCGAAATATAACGAGAGCAAGCATGTGCACAACATATTTCAGAGGTACAGCATGCTGAAGGCGATGATCAAGGTGAGATAAGACTACTTCATCAACATTTTTGCTGGGTTTTAAAACCCTATACAGCGAAAGGTGCTTTCTTCTATATTTAAGCATAAGCGAGATGCCTCGAGGGGTAATTTTTCATATTATTTGTCCATAAATAGAACAATTAGAATTTGCTTAGCACCAGATTTCAAAAACACATTCGCAAAATATTTTTTTCAATTGTTGTTTTTATTTAACTCCCTGTATCTGGAAAACCCGTATTTTTGTACCTACGCTTATATGAAATTTATTTTTATAAAACGTGTTGTTTGGAAGCGTCTGGGATTTCAGGAGGTGATCCGGTTGGAGACCCAGTACTGGACACTGGTCGATATTCCCAAACAGGAGAAGCAGGAAACCGTTCCTGCGTTCGTCCTGCGCGCGTGCGCGATCATGGAGAAGACCCAGAAGAGCGGCGAAGGGGTCAAAACGTCTACCAAATTGGCGGAAGAGGCCCTAGAGAAGAAGGAGAGGATAGAGCGGCTAGAATGTAAGAACGTTGTAATAAACTAGGGTTGAAGTGTTTTAGATTCCACTCTCACCATGGTATCGCGTTAACAGCAAACGATATACAGGGTGGTTCGACATGATTAAAATGCTAAAATCCAAAATACAAAAATACGAGAATCCAATAAACAGAGGATGTAAGAACAAAAAGCCACTTCCTGCATTTGTTTTCTTTTCTTTTTTGATTGGTTAAGCTATTTACTAGTTGCCAATAGGCATTCGGGATGATATTCATGTCAGGAGAGGAAAGAAAACTAATTTAAATTTCGAAGAACGAATGTACCTAGCCCGCCCAATTACAAAAGCCACCTTTTACTGTTTGAACACACCTCGTACTTAAAGGCCTCCTTGGTTAGATTGGGTAACACAATTTTTAAATTTAGAGAAACAAATTGGGATGTTTTCGGGTGAATTTGGTTCACAGTCGGCGGTTCAAAGTGTCCCCGAGTTACACGTCTAAATTGAGACGCAGATTATTCGACGACACCTTTGAGCTCACTGATTGCGTTAGCTCTTTCTTGAGCTGCTTTAAATTCATTGTCGCTTTACGTCTGCTCCGCGAATGCATAATTTGCTTCGAATTAGGGATTCGATCGCGGCTTCGGCGGCCATTCGGTCGTATAACGAGACAATTTGGTGCACTCGCGTTTTTTATTAATTCCCGCCCACCTCAATTTGTTCCAGACATGACAACGTCGCAAATAGAGGCGGAGAATACGCAAATGACGAACGACCTCTACAGGCTGCTTAAGAAATATTCGGGTTTACGGAACTTGATCAGGCAACTTAAGGTAAGCGAGAGTTGGGTAAGCAGTTCCGCTGCGCCAAGTGGTTGGTGCGGGCCACTCACACAACGGACCCTACTTTTGCAAATTCTATGCAAATTTGTTATTTCTACCTCCTTTTTTTTCGTTCTCCAAGCTAGAAGCTTCTGCACTCAGAAAACGCTACCACTTACAATAAATTGTATTTTTGAACAATCCAGGCAGTTTAACTTTTTAGGTGGAGATGGAGTTTGGTTCCTTGGGCAGTCACAATCATCCCAAATGACTAGTGAAAGAAGCCCTTAAAAGCCTTAAAAGGGAAAATGTTTTGTCAATCCTACTTGCACAATTAAGGTGTTCTACTTTTCCTTTCAATCGCACGAATTAATCGAAGTCTAATATTTTGCTGCGTAGAGGCGTAGAGAACAGGATTGCTTTGCAGCATTGTATTTCAAAATGAAGTCGCTTTGCGGTTCTTTGTCCTATAGGGACGCATTGTTTTTCTATCGTGCTCCTTTTGAAAAAAATATTTGGTGATGCTTGATTACGCTTAAATTCTACTGTTTCGATGTGGGTACGGACTTCTACTTCTTTGGCAATTTTAAAATGGTTAGCTACATATTTGGGTCATTTACGTGAATTTATGTGAAAACTTTAAAAACAAAAGTTTGCCAACAGAATCACAGCTTTCTTGTTATGGTCAATTATCATTACAAAGGGAGACCAGTTTTCAGTTTTTTGCAAATTCTATGCAAATGCAAATGCAAATGCTGATTCTAGTTGATCTCGTTTTTCAGACTGAATACACAAATGCCAAAATCTATCCGATGGTGATCCGTTACTCGATGCTGAAGGACATGATCAAGGACATCATGTTGCATCCCGACTACATGGAGGTCTGCCACGAAGTGGACGTATAGCCAAAGTCCTTTTCCTAGGGAGTACCGAAAAGGAGACAAAGCTGCCGATATTGAGGTAAATCCTGGCGTTTTGTGCTTCGGACTTTTTAGGGAAACCTTTTCGGAAAGAAGATTCGGTGAGAAAAAAAGAGACGCTTCTGCACTTGCCTGTACTTCGGGGACTTGTTTTTGCGAATATTTTGTGATCTCATTAACGGTTGAATTTTACAAAGGTGATAATAATTAGCTGCTTAGCGAGATTGTACGGGGTGTTCCTTTCGCATACGTGGGTTGGGTGTCTATATATTTTTGATAAGTTTCGTAATTATTCTAACCTTTAAAAAAGCTGTTCGTCTCCATCTTGAATACGACAAGCTCATGGAACCTCGCGAAATAAACATTGTTCGCATTTTAATCAAACAAACGCCGCCATTGGCGTACGCTCTGTACTTGAATATTTTCAATGCGCTTTAAATTTACCAGACACGTTATATTGCGCGGTACTTTTATACCGGTATTTTTGCTAGATGTTAACAAATTCGTATTTAGACACTGTTATCGCTACACACTTTGGTTATTGTAAAAAGAAAATATGTTAGTTAATATAATATATTGCGTGTTATATGTAAATTGTATCGTCAAATGTCGTATATGCGAATATTAATAACCTATAAGTTTAGGTTTGTTAAAATTTACTAGAAAGCAATAAGGCCGAGAAATATTATTTAGCCTTTCGATTGGCCAGTGTATTGGTTCTCGACTGCTGGGTTATATTCGTGGTCGTTTAAAGGCATCCAGAAAGTTAGGCAATAATTTTTTTTTTCACAATTAGTAGTCTACATTGGTTTCTTCTGCTCCACCGGACTAGTTAATATGCTCCACCTCGAATGAAAATCTGGTTGGTCCTGGGAGACTACCGGTGCGGCAAAAATGATCAGTGCCTTAAAAAACAGTTTTTGGTCTGTGTTCCGTTATACTTTTTTATGGATTTTTTTGGTCAGCAACCGACACGTTCTGTATTGAACTCCCACATATCGCCTTATTTATTTCCATATAATTCATTTTATATTTGTCATATCTGGATACCTAAATTAACAAGAATGATAGCAAGCGTTATCCATACCAACGACATTGGAATCAGAACGAAGCCTCTTTTGAATAGCAGTTAAATCCTTTAAAAAAGCATCTCTGCGATCTGTATGGTATTGCCACAAGAAGCATAATCAATCATATGACCTTAAATACAAAAGTTTTAAACGAAACGCTTTCTGATCTGACCAACGCAGTAAGTGTAGTGATTAATATTAAGCCACCCTGCAAAAAAAAAAATAGGTGCCACCATTAAGCGTCAATGTTATTTCTCATCAAAGAAGACAAGTGTTAATACCTGCGCTGGGAGCGGATCTGAGCAAAATAAGCTTAGAAAAGACGGCAGTGGCCGTTTTGGTTAGTTGAGCACTTTTGCAGCGACAAGGAAATAGTTGAATTTATTTATAGCAAAAAGGAAAGCGGAGGAAATATTTGATTCTGATAAAAGAACATGCCATGGGTAGGGTAGCTAAATCACTGGATTGGAGCTTCATCAAATGAAAGCTGGCAGAACTAGGGAATTTCTTCTTTAGTTAGTATTACTTCCAGTATTATTACTGATACTTATGGGAGCTTTGTGTAGCTGACACGAACAATGCCTATATGTTTTTATGGCATGAGGGTGTGGCAGGTCATGGGGCAAATGAGATTTCTGAATGCTGGATTTACCAATAAAAGATACTCTGGTGGTCACAATAAAAACAAATATATTTTGTTTGCTCTGATAGTCTTTGTAGCTCAAAGCCTTTCCGATTAAATCCAGATTACGATTGATATCAGCGGGCGTAGCTTGATGCCCTGCGACGGGGATTTTGCGTTGCTAGAAAAACCCAAAATTCTTTATGCCAGACGATCTGGTCCAAGTCATCCAATCAGTAAGGTAGAACTCACCATTTCAAATGGGATATAAGGGGACTTAGTGCTAAACACTCCAAAATTACAACAAAGCAGTAGTAAAACAGTTTTGGTACTTAGAACCTTACATTAATCATTAATCCACTCACTTAACGCACTTAAAGGAAAACTTGGCAAATCCTTATCCCCTCGAACCATTTTTTAATTGCAATTAAAGTTGACGGAATATTTTTGAAAAAAAATCGTTATAAACAATTTGTCCGATCAAACTCTTCTTATACATAATCGAGAGAATTTCACTTTCGCCTCTGTTCCGTTCCGATCTTTTCTCGATGTTTGAAATTGTTTTTTCACTAACACCTCCCATTCAGTAAACAGCAAAAGATATTAAAAAAAACAATTTTCGTGATCACGTGAAGCACTTACCATTATTTGAATTTCTTGAGTTCCACCAAAAGCCATTTCGACGGCCTTGCAGATTGTAGCCATTAAAAGCTCATCATAATTCAATAATATATCCTCCACAAAACACTTATGCTATTCAGCTTCTATTGTCGATTTTACAAACAAATTCAGGACATATTGTCCTAATCTTTGTATGAGCAATCCATTTAATATGTATTTTCGGCAACGCTAAGCCGCTGTCTCCTCTTTGAAATGCATTGCCTCTGCTACCCACAGTGTGACTGCCCATTGATATTTTCGCAAATATCTCTCGTGCCCCGTATAATAGACGAAACCTGAAACTCTCGATACCATACGATAATTTTTCATTTACAATTTACCCAGGAAAAATGCAGTTTTCAGGACCTTTTTGTTTTTTTTTACCCATAACACTGGTCTGCATAAAAAATTTTTTTCCAAATATCTCGAGAACCGCGTGTGATAGACGAAAATCGAAAATAGAAAAATTATAGGTATCGGTACTGCCTTCATTTAATGCCGAAAAGAACAATTTGCGGGGTCTTTTAGATTTTTGTCTGTAATTGAAACACCCTGTATGTAATCGAAAAAATGCTCGAAATAAGAGTTATAGTTCCCGGATCTCCCGCATTTGCCGATTCTTGAAATTTTCAGTTCCGGTTGATAGTTTTCGAGAAAATTATTTTTTTCTGAAAGCCAAAATATATAAAAAAAAAAACAATTTTTAATAGTAATAGAATCTGACAACTGAAACATGGTATTTTAGTTATAGCGAATTTTTCATAAAAGAAGATCGTATTTTTCAGTTTTTGCGAGAAAAAAAAAAGAATGAAAGTTTATGCGTATTTTCGTCCAAAAATGTTTACCATTTCGTAAGCAATTTTCGAGAAATAATGTTTTACTTGCCGGCCCCCCAACCCCCCAATTTCAGTAGGTTCCGTCAGGTGCCCAAACGCAATTTCCTTGTTAAATTTAAAATCGAAAGCTTGAAGTTTACGACACTTATCGCGATGTCCAAAAACAGTCGAAAATCGAAAAAAAAAGACGGACGCCGCTGTCTGATCGCGGCCATTTTTTATTGACTTATGCTTCTTATAAACTGTTTGAAGGGAGCCAAATATAAACGCCGTAGATCAAACCACTCGAAAGTCATGGCCAATTACAGCCGCGTCTACAGAGAAACGGAGAACAGACAAAATAAGTTTGTTTTTTATTTGCCGCTGAGCATTTCTGTATCGATGGGGATCCCCTGGACCAACCGTTGAGATCTATCACTAAGAACATCAGTCGAGAACCAGCGATTCAAAATTATTAAATAAAACTCGGCGAGTGTTTGCGCGTTTCGGGTTATACCCGATCCGCGTAGGCTTAGAGCGTTTATCACTGCCATTGATGAATTAGTTAAGTAATATATAGTAATCGAGGCTTGGTACATTTTAAGCGGCGCCTTCAATAAACAAATTTCAGTAAACAAAAACCACGTCGTTATTGAATGAAAAAATTAATGGAGTAAACTGCTTAATTTTCTAATAAAATCAGTTTATTATTATTAAAATATCTAGTACGTTTTGTTCTCATCTACAGACACCACCCCTTAGACTTTTGGGTCATTTTTTTCCAAAATCTTATTCTCTTGAAATTTTCATTTTGAATAACATTTGTGCCTAGAATTTAGTTACTTTAGTTATGTTACCAGGTATGAAAAGTTGTTTAAGAAAACCCGCTTTTGGTTTTTTGTGGTATCAACCCAAACCGAAAAATTAGGCTTCCATTTCCGGTGTTAAATATATATTATCTTGGTTCGGGTTTAAAGGCCGTCGTCGATTGGAATTACTTCCTAACGTTTCTCTAGCACGAGTGGCGAGCTTCTTCAGAGGTCCTTCCATCTCCGATGTTGGACGTAGACTGACGATTTCTCCTGCGCAGGTTGTATTTATGCCGATTGGTGGTGGGCGGGGCTTGTTCCGCTTCGGTTGGTCTCGGGATATCGATCGGTACTGCTCGGGCGTTCCTAAGGATCGGGTTCCAGATTTGGTTGAGTCTAAGGGTCTCCTCCTTTCGGTTGAAATTGTGTGGGTGTTTTTGTATCTCAATGGCTTCCCTGACTAGTCTGTTGTGATAGCCGTTGACCGATGCTAGTAACTTACAGCTCTCAAAGTGTATCCTGTGTTCCCCGCTGCTCAGTGCGTGTTCAGCTACTGCAGACTTCTCTGTATGTCCTAGCCTGCAGCTTGCTTTATGCTCCTTAAGTCTCGTTCCCATTGATCTCTTGGTAGTCCCGATGTAGACCTTTCCGCATGAACACGGAATGCGGTAGACTCCTGCAGCTGAAAGTGAGACCCTCTTGTCCTTCGCTGACCTGATGGTCTGCTGGATCTTCTTTGTAGGCTTAAAGATTGTTTTGATGTCGTGTCTTTTCAATACTCTGCCAATCCTGTCGGTGACACTCGGAATATACGGCAGATATGCGTGGGAGGTGGAGGGTCGTTGTTCGGTATCCCGTGATCTTGATGATCTTGAGTTCATTGATCTCTCGATCTCCCTCTTGCTGTAGCCATTTGCCTCGAACGCAGTTTTTAGGTGTTCAAGTTCCATCTGGAGGCTCTCCGGTTCGCAAATCCTTCGGGCTCGTTCTGTCAGGGTTCTAATAACCCCATACTTTTGGCTTGGGTGATGGTTGGATAGAGCATGCAGGTATCTGTCCGTCTATCCGTTTTCTGTAAACTGTGTGGCCCAGCTTCTTACCTCGCTTCCTCACATTATCCTTAGGAACGCCCGAGCAGTACCGATCGATCTCCCGAGACCAACCGAAGCGGAACAAGCCCCGCCCACCACCAATCGGCATAAATACAACCTGCGCAGGAGAAATCGTCAGTCTACGTCCAACATCGGAGATGGAAGGACCTCTGAAGAAGCTCGCCACTCGTGCTAGCGAAACGTTAGGAAGTAATTCCAATCGACGACGGCCTTTAAACCCGAACCAAGATAATAGCTTATCAACGGGCCGCGAAAGCCTTAACCAATTTATCAAATATTTTCGTTTTTTTGTATTTTCAATTAGTTTTCGAATATTTTTTCTTTAAAAAAAGCTCCTCCGATAATTAAAATTGGATACTAAAAATGCCATGTCAGGTTGTTTCAGAAACAACGCTTTCGGGAAGGTTATTTATATATTTTCTTAAAAATACTGTTTAGAATTTAAAAAAGTAAATATTAGGTAAATATTGAACTATAAAACTAATTACATTGCGTTTGTTTGCTAGGTTTTGTGTTCTGTTGAATTAAAAAGTTTAATTAGAAGCCTTAATTTTGGAGTAATTTTTTTAAATAATTCATTTGCAGATATAGTTGCGTACATACAATTAGTGCGCTGTTGGCGTCTTAAAATGTGCCAAGCCGACGGAATTGCGGAAAAAGAAATTTCCCGAAATTTTTGGTGTCCTATTTTAGAGTAAACGTGCATCATTATAAACCAAAAGTTTATTTGATAACGATGAACAAATCTTTTCAAATCCAGGCCAGCTCGTAAACGTATAATATGACGTTGTTGTACAGTACAAAAACTATTTCGACCAAATTCTAAAAGTGACCACGATTTTTCTTTGTCCTCGACATATCGAACTAACCGAAACCGCATATCTTCTATAGAAACGGATTCGTTGCTTTCTACAGGGTGAAACTCGATCGTAACTTTCGAGCTGCTTCAAGCGGTCTACGCCACCATACGAGCCAGTCGATAAATAACAAAATGATTATCAGCATCGGTCCGTAGTTATGTAGGGTGGACCAGGTTTTCTGTAACGATGTAGCAAACTATAAGGTTGTTCGGAAAGTCGTTTCGTTTTTCCCGTCAGAGGACTTAATTACGTTTTTTCGAAACCAACTTCACACTTAAGCCGCATAACCATTATATGTCTTGAGAGCTGATATTGCAAGGCTTGTGTGTGAAAAAGTTCTATTAATTCTACGCAGTAGTTTTTGGTTGGTGCCCTTTTAAATGTGGAGAGCAATAAGCAGCATTTTCGTCATATTTTACTTTTTTACTTCAGAAAAGGTAAAAATGCTATCCAAGCGAGAAAAAAATTGACGGATGTGTATGGAGAAGGCGTGTTAACAGTACGCCAATGCCAGAACTGGTTTGCAAAATTTCGATCCGGCAATTTTGAGGTCGAAGATGCACCACGGTCTGGAAGGCCGGTCGAAGCTGACAAAGATGCGATAAAGGCATTAGTTGATGCAAATCGGCGAATAACCACACGAGAGATCGGTGAGAGATTAAATTTGTCGAATTCGACTGCTTATGGCCATTTGAAAGGCATGGGCTTAACCTCGAAGTTCGATGTGTGGGTGCCCCATGTCCTTACGGAGCGAAATTTGTGTCGTCGCGTTGACGTGTGTGATTGGCTCCTCAAACGTCAAGAAAATGATCCATTTTTGAAGCGGATTATTACTGGGGACTAAAAATGGGTTGTATACAACAATGTTAAACGCAAGAGGTCATGGAGCAGAAAAGATGAACCGGCTCAAAGCGTGTCAAATGCCAACATTCACCAAAAAAAGATGATGCTCTCCGTTTGGTGGGATGTCAAAGGAATCGTTTTTTTTTTGGAGCTTTTGCGGGACAATACAACGATTAATTCAGAAGTCTATTGTCATCAACTGGACAAATTGAATGATTCACTTAAAGAGAAGAGGCCCGAATTAATCAACAGGAAGGGTGTAGTGTTCCACCAGGATAATGCGAGACCTCATACAAGTTTGGTCACTCGCCAAAAACTTTTACAGCTTGAATGGGACGTACTGCAACATCCACCATATTCTCCAGATCTGGCGCCTTCCTACTACTATTTGTTCCGGTCCCTGCAAAATTTTTTGGATGGCAAAACCTTTACCTCAAATGAAGATGTCAAAATCCACCTGAACCAGTTTTTTGCCAGCAAGGACCAAAACTTTTACGAGAGGGGAATTATGTTACTGCCAGAAAGATGGCAAAAGGTGTTGGACCAGAATGGCCAATATATAATTTAATAAAATATTTATTCATTATACGACAACTGTCTTTCATGTTCCCCAAAAAAAACGAAATGACTTTCCGAACAACCCAATAATTTATATGGAAAAGATCCGTATATACGATAAGTTTTATGCGAAAACGCTAAACATGAAATAAACAATAAGTTTGAAGACCATCAAATTGTTTTAAGTCAACAATTGCCAGATAATATAAAAATGGATTTTTTTCCTGAAATCAAGTGAAATGGTTAATTCAAAACATAAATATTGGAGACAAAGTACAACTTTCTGCGTGAATTACAAATAGTTAATATTTTTTTAGTTACTATTGTTCGCAGCGTATAAACTCCCAATTCGCAGCTGACAATTCAAAGCAAATTTTCGTTTTGTTCCTAATAAACGAAAACCACCGATCAAATAGCTAACGAAAATATGAATAAAATGGAAAGAGAAAAGAAATTTAACACAGTAAAATAATAAAAAAGTATGCATTTTACCAGAAGTCGGAACAATCTCGTTTTAAGAGAGGGAATATATTTTCACTAGTTTTTTTTTTACATTCAATAATTCACTGTTAACAATATCCTTTAGATTATTTTTGATATTGATAATTTAATTTTTGTAAGTGAGCAGCTTTTTGTTTAATGGATCCTCTATACTTGGGCCAGAAATATAGTGCTTCTACAACCGACTACTATGTTTTGGTGCTTTTGCGCTTTCAGCCCAATCAAAATCATCTCAATCGTGACGCGGGGGTAATCTCAAGATTTCACGTCCATTTTGTTGTGTTATCAAATCGATTTTGTAATCTTTATTAAAATGTTTTATTTTTAATAATTCCAAAGGTTGTTTTTTCGTGTGGCTCTCTTCAAAATATAAATTATTTTCGTATAGAAATGTTTTAGTTTCTTCTTTATTTGAACAAGTATTTCTAATTTTTCTAATTTGGGCTAGGCATTGAACAACACAATAACAGTATTTGGCGATTGAATCTTTGACGTTTTGGGCAGACAAAAATAAGGCATCTTTTCTCCACATTTCAAAGTGTTAAAAAAATATTTATCTGTATTCTCGTGTCGTACGATAATTTAATCTTTAGTCTTAAACAAGACTGTTGTTGTTTACAAATCGAAGAACTATGCAGAAGACACAAAAATACAAGAAAAATCTTGTTAATCGACAGGCACTATCAGAATCAGGCACTTAAATACGTTCTTGCTGAAAGGATCGCAGTCAGATATCTCCGTAATGTATACGAACATATTGCAGTTAGATTAAACGATACATATCACCTGATGTTATAATAAACGCTTCTACCTATTCGAAAATATCAAGCAGCATCAATCATATTTAAAACGGTCCATTTACGTTTATATATGCACTATATTTTTGGTCGTATTATACTTATTAATCATTCATAGACATAGACGAAAATTATTGATATTAATTATTTTTTGGAAGAGGGTCCGTCTGAATCCGATGCGATGTACTTTTGAGATATACTGTAACTACGGACTGCGGTGCTTGCGCCGGCACTTCCCGATAGTACTTTTGCCCATCGATTGGCCTAATGGTGCGACGAACCGCTATCTAATCAACGGTACCGATATGGTACGGTACCCGCTCCTTCTAATAAATTCTAAACGCGTTAACCGCGTCCCCGTTCTGTTCTCCTGCTGCAATTTGTTTAATTTTACAGTTGTTAAAGTTCGCAACAATGTTGCATGCGACTTAATAAGTGTGCGGCTAATTCGTCCCGATTTTGGCCCACGAAAATGGTTGTTTATTTTGTGATTAAGGCCGTGTCTGTGTGTATGTATAGGCGCATAATATAACAAAAACGACACAATGTTTAATAAAGGTTTGAGACGAATTTTACAGGGTCCTCTACATCGTGTCACCGTTGAAAATGAACGCTCGCCATTATTTCCGCAACCGCCATTTTGCCAGTTATTCATAGAGAACAACGCAAGTCCAACACAAATAACATACAAGAAGGAATTTTACTTCATTAATAACGAGTAAATACGTAAAATTTTAGTTACTATTTTACGACGTCACTGAAGTCTTTTGTTTGATTTTTATTCAGGGGCACATGAAAAAAACGCTAAATAATTTGAATATTGCTCAATATTTTTGAATGTTGAAAGGGATAAGTACAAGACGACGATTTTTCGACATTTTTGCGTGGTATCTCGCCTATGTTTAAAGATAATGGGTTGCGGTTTCCTGCTACTATTTTATTATATTAGTATTGTTCAACAAATAATAATAATTTAATCTAACAATACAGTACTAATACAATACAACACAATTATTATTTTCTTTAGACTATGAAGCATAAACAACTTGACTGAGTTCGAGTTCTTCACTGTATAAGGCATTTGGTTGTACAAGTATACTGTGAAAAACATCATTCTGATCAGGGCCAGTGATAACTCTAGGAACATAGAAGTCTTCTCGGGTTCGATAATTATGTATGTCTGTTATAGTCCTTGTATTTCTTGATAGATGTTCGGGAAGCAAATTGTGTTTCATTTTGTGTGTAATAATAATAATAATAATAATAATAATAATAATAATAATAATCCTGTTGCTTCCAATATAGTCTTTATGTGTGTGTAACGATGACATCCTATAATACATATACATAATGGTATTGTTTTGTCTGAAGAACACTTTACTTCTTCATATTGAGCAAGAAGAGTATCGATGAACAGTAATTAAAATGAGGTACGATTATTGACTTGTATATTGTTAGTTTAGACCAGTCACTAAGATATGTGATAATTCTTTTCAGAAGATTGATACGGCATTAAATTTACCTTTAAGAATCATACATTTTGTTTTTTCTTATATACTTATACAAAACTTCAATTTCTTCATTCAGGATTTGTATTACATCATCCACATCATCTCCCATTGAATACAACAAGGTATCATCAGCAAATAGTTGAACTTTACACTTTTTTAAGTGTCTTACAATGTCGTTTATAGAGAAAATGAGAAGATTCGGCCCCAACACTGTTCCCTGGGGTACACCAAATTGGTTTTCCTTTTGCATTGCTGTATATTCAAAAAAACCTTGTTTCTTGAGTATGGTTTGATAGATAATTTTCAAAACATTTCAGCACCGCATCCTGCATACCATATTTTTTAAAAATTTTGTAGTGCAGTAGTTCAATAAAATTTTTATAGTCTCTATAACACTTGGTAATATTCTCTTTATTGTTAGACATTTCTAATATGTAAACTTTTCGGAATAGAAAGTGCTTTTTGGCATATCGATATTAAAATCACCAATGCATGTAAGGGTCCCTTCTTAAGCAGCATATTCTTCTAAAAAGTCCTCCATATAAGACAAAAAATAAGCATCACTGCTCGCTGGTGAATGGTACAAACTAAATATCAATAATTTTTGTTTGTTTATTAAAAGTTACACACCTGTTACCCACACATTGTTCAAATATGATGTACTTAGCAATGTTGTTGACTGCACTTTTTGTTTTACATAAATTATTGTTCCTCCTGTGTGCCTGCTTATCAGGTTAGATCCCTCAATAATTTCATGATTTTATCATATATTATTATCTTTTATTATTAGCTACGCCTAAAAAAAGTTCCACAAGAATGTACTTTCACTTTTTAGTAAATTAATAAGCAAAAGACAAAAGTTCAATTTATCAATTTTATCTTATTTTCATAAAAAGGTAAGCGAGATTCCATGCAAAACTGTACGAGACCTACAGAGATAATTTGACGTTATTAGTAGGAGGAAATTATATTTTATTCATTAGAAAATGGCAACAATTAACACAACAAATATTATTTCTAAATAATTTGTATTTCATAAAATGTTAACTGGTTGCTACGTCAGGATGGCATTCGTCGCTGCCGTGGTCTCTTCTTTTTTTTACCACCAACTTTATAACATCAACATAACTAAATTCCGATTCTACCAACTTAGGTTACGGGAATACTGCGCGTTCCTAAAACTCTGTATATACTTGGGTCAATGTTAATCTAAAAAAATATATTAGCGATGTTTTGGGAATTTATCGAATAACCGAGATCAAACGGCGATATCAAATTCCAGAAATTTTCTATTTTGTATTTCGTTTTAGCCGAAGCAAAACAAAAAATTATATATAACAGCTTAGGATGTTGTAAAAATACAAACAAATGAGGTGTCGAGGTGAGAATAAACCATGTACCTACGTTATGACGTCGGCCTTTTATTTTTTGACCTTTCTACCGTCTACTGTGGGGAATATTTCTAAAAAAATAAAAACAAATACTACGAACGAACGAATTCGAATCCTCGTTCAAACGGATAACCCGCCGAGTTTATATGATCTCCTGATAAAACCAAACGAGACGATGTCGTCTCGAGGCGGCCATTTTGTTTGGGTTGCGGTTTATATTGCGCCGCCAGCGGCGTAGTCTTCGATTCAAATTTCGGGGCAGTTACGAAGAAATCTAAAAGTCTGTGAAAATGCATTCGGCCCAGCGCATCCGCCTATTTTGAATGTGAAGTTTACTGACCAATACTAAGAATACTAAGTGCGGAATTGTCAAAAATTTCGACAGAGCTCGATTTTGGTTTGGACCTTGGGTGCTAAAAAAGTTAATAAAGTGTTGATATTCTTAACAGTTTTCCAGAAAATAATTATTATCTTCATTTTTACGACAAGAACATACCTTCAATTAAGTTTTTATTACTACGACACTGGAGCCAGAAGAAAACTAAAATTTTGGACATAGCTTAGAGAGGGATCGAACAAAATTCGTTCGAAATACATTGTACAGGATTAGTCAAACAAGAAAGAGAAAGGGGAATGAATGACGGAAGAGATTATGAGTCTGATGGATGAGAGACGTGTATATAAAACGAAGCATGAAACAAAATACGACGAATTAAATAGAGTGATACGTCGGAAATGAGCGAAAAACTGCAGAAGGACGGAAAAGCTATTCAGAAGAAATCTTATTCATAACATTACAAATTCCGCTCCACTGTTTTAAATCGATCTTCCACCCCATACCCGAGAAAACAAGAGCAACAAAATGCGACGACAACCGTTTCATAAGCGTAATGTCGCACGTTCTCAAAGTCTTCCTAAGAATTCTACACAATAGAATACGACATGACACAATTTCGAAAAGGCTTGGGGACACGTGAAGCTTTATTTTCTTTAAATGTACTTGTCCAACGCTGCAAAGATATGAACATAGATGTTTATGTATGCCGTATATCATAGTAGAGAGTCTGGACCGACACTGAATGTAAGGAAGGCTAAATGGATGTTAATAACAAAAACGGAAAGTTGGAAATAATGTCATAGAATACACATTTAAATATTTGGGTACCAACGTAAATGAAAAGTGGGATCCAACGAAAGAGGTAAACTCCAGGTAAATATGAACAGATTCTTCCATAAAACTAGACTTAATCTGGAACTCAGAACGGCGAGGGCCTATGTGTTTTCTGTGCTTTTATATGGATGTGAGTGTTGTGCCCTTGATCCTTTCTCCGAAAAACGCCTCGATGCTTTCGAAATGTATATATACAGGCGTCTTCTTCATATTCCCTGGGTACAAAAAGTAAGAAACACGGAAGTACTAACAACAATGAACAAAGAAAAAGCACTTTTAACAACTATAAAAATAAGAAAAACCCAATATTCAGCAGCAGTTTCCAAAGTTCGTTTAGCTATATGGATCGCCAACCTTGGTAAGGAGACGGCGCGATAAGAAGAAGGATATGGTCATTCGAAAAGGAATCAAGAAATAGCATAGGATCCTGAAATAAAAAATATTACAATAAAATTTATGTTGTTTTTATTCTCATACATATCCCATACATTAAATGCGTTTGAATATATGTAACTTTAGTACAACAATTGTAAGCTAAAGGATCAGAATCTTTTTTTTTTTGACTAGATAAGCTATCAGTTTTTTTTTTATAATAATACGGACTTTTTAAAGTTTATGCCGATCTGCACATAAATCTATTTTTTCTCTTGTTTTTCTCGTCGAATGGACATCGAATGTCTTTCTCTCTCTAGTACTCTCTCGCTCTCTCTCTCTCTCCCTCTCGTCGACAAAACAATACAATCAATACAACGTATCGTGAGGACGCGCAGGGTGTATTTTCGCCCCCCTCCCCTCCCACGGGAAATATCCAGGTGCATGTGCGCATTACAAATAATCATAGTGGAACGTACAAAATAAATACATCTTTATATAGCCTAACAAACCGACACAAAAGGGTTGATAAGTTTGTATTGAGTATATTTTCGAAATTCATCCAGATCGTGTTCTTTTTCAGTCTGATCCGAAGCGGAAATATTCTATCATTCCGAACCTCTGACCCCCCTCCCCGAATTAGCACCATTCTAATATTATTCTTACAAAGCTCGTGTATTTGTTCTCTTTGCACTTTTCGTGGGCAGTTTATATCGCAATCGAACCCCTCCCCCCCCTCCATATAAACTGCACTCGAAAACCCGACTCACAAAAAAAAAAACAACAAACTTCAGTCGCTACAACATAAGCAGAGGTTGTGCCAAATTGGACTCTTTTAAAGGCAAACTTCCGTTTCTAAAGCTGTGTCGAATTCTTCAATCTATCTCCTTTGAAAGTGTCGAATTTGGCCCATCGCACGAGTAGGCCCTTCGGGGCTTCAACTGGAAACCAGTTCTATAGCATGTCCTAGCGATTGCACAGAAACTAAAGCAAAGGCGCGTTGTAAAAAAATCTAGTATAATAAACACCCTCTACGAAATAACGGATAAAGGTCGCTGCACAGTATACATAACCGTATATCGTTCTTAACAAGACAAGAAATCATAAATGGGCATATCACATAAAAATTTATCGCTTAAATTTAACGCTTAGACAAAATAATTCGGAAAACAACTAAATGGCGACGTCGCTAAAATAACTGACAAGCTGTTGCCTCATAGAACTTACATTTTCGTATCCCAATGGTTTATTGTCTGGACCAAGAGGACATTTAATGACGGCTGAGGAAGCCCGCCATTTTCTATTTGGGGTTAAGGTTAAGGTTAGGATATAAATCTCCAAAAAATTTCAAAAACCAAAACGTATCTCTCTAAAATTGAACACACGAAACGTCGATGTGTTCGCTTAATTGGTCCAGACAATGTACGATCCATTTTGAAATGGCATTTTAGCTAACGGAGGCAGCCGATATGAGGTTAGGTTCCACGAAAGTTGATATTCCGTGGATAAACAGCGGGACTTTGGGCGATCAAGTTTGATCTAGCGTCGTCATTTAGTTATTTCGCGTAGCGCTGAACGACCACAGCCTCCCTAACCTAAACTCTCTCGCTTACAAGTTAAGTTCCCGGCGTTTTGAACGCCAAAAATAAATTTCTAAAATTCAACATTACCCGGCCTCTGTCCGCGCATGCGCAGAGAGATAGCTGGCGATAATTTTGAATAAACATTTTTAAAAGTCGAACAACATTAAATAATGTTCCAATTAGTAAAATATCCTAGTGTCCGGTCTAACATTATTTAGAGATTTATCTTTTAAGACCTATTAAGTTCGAATGCAAACTTATTTTAACCTTCAAGCCCGCGTCTGGCGAAGACCTCGGCCCGATGAGGTCGCTTACGGTGAGGAAGATTCGGATTGGCCGCGAATTGGACGTGTTCTTCTACTAAGTTCTCTCTGATGCCTGACTACGTAATCTTCTCCTAACGTATAAGTAGTAAAAAATGAGTAATATGGTGGGAGGTGACCGCACGGGAGATGATGCGCCTAAAACTCTAAACGGTAAGCGGAACATGATGTTTCGTGATCCTGGAGATTGATGGTGCATCGACTAGCTGACGGGGACAGGTCAATCTTAAACTTGGACAGCAGTTCTTCGTTCTCGGCCACCCAGTAGCCCAGTATGTCGGTGTCGTATGTCGGAATGATGGTAACCTCTGCAAACACGGCCTGTTAAAGCGAAACGCGACTCGAATGGACTTCGAACTCACCTAATTCCTTATCATCCCACGTTTGCTTCGCTTCGAGCAAAGCGTCGTACACCTGTCTGCTGGGTTCCAAACCGGAGAACACGTAATACCTAGCCCTAATTCGTCTGAAGAAATCTACGTAAGAATAGTAATGGTTCCCGTGGTGCGGAACGTAAGTCAGGTCGACGTAGACGTGGTTCGCTTTCTTATTTCGCAGCTTCGAAGGCGACTCCGCCCTTTTCCGGTCGTCGTTCAGCTTATTCTTCGCGGTGACGTGGGCCGGAAGCTTCTTCTCCTTCTTCGGAGTGCCCTTGTCGTTATTGTTCATCGGCGCGGGGCTGGGCAATCCCAGCGGCTTCCCCCAGTCGGCGATAGGATCGTCACCGCTCCCAGACGAGCCGTCAAAGTACACGCTACCACTCATCACGCCGTGCGTGCCGCCACTGGGCAACTCGCCGATGAAACTGGATGTCATCACGTCCATCTGGGAAGAAAACTTGGCTTTGGTGATGTCGTGAAGGTAGCTGGGCGCGGGCAGGCCCAGCGGTTTGCCCCACTCGTCGACGGCATCTTTGGCGGACCCTTCAGTCTTTTTGTCTTGTGGAAGTTCGCCGATGAAGCTTGCCGTCATGATATCCCTTTCCTCTATGGTGGTACCGCTTCCGTCCAACGCCTTAGTATATTTAGCTTTGGTGATTTCATATAAATACGTCCCAGGCGGATTTTCGGATTCTTCGTCAGGCAGAGCGCCGTAGTAGGACATGCTCATCGGGTCCATCTTCATGTCCATCTCGTCCAAGTCGGATTGCGAGTGCGCCACTTGCGATTTGGTGCTCAAGTCGTCGTCGTCCGTTTCGGTGTATTCACTCAGCCCGGTGTCCTTGGATGGTGACCTTGAGCCTGCGTGTTGGGTATCCCTGATTACTGGGCTGACGGGGACGGTGGGCGGAGTTATTTTCCCCGAGCGTTCAACCTCCGGCGTCGATTTTCCGCTTAGGCTGCAGACTTCCAATTTAGAAGACGAACCGGCTGACGAGTCGTCACCTTTGGGAAGTTGGAACACTTTGGCGTCGGCGCTATCCGTAAAAGTCGTTCTCTCACTCTCGATAAACATTTGACTGGCGTCTTTCGGGCATATCTCTGTCTTGATGCTTATCTCCACGTCCGAAATCGACAGCTTCTTAGGTTCGGACTTGCGATCGATTTCCAGGGTTGATTTGGTGGAAACTTTTTCCATGCTTTCTTTCTCGTCTTTTTCCGCAACCGCTGACTCCTTCAAGTCGGCAGCTGGTTTGTCCGCGCCATCTTCCACCGCCAATTCTTCTTTTTCCGGAGACGGCTTTTCGTAGTCCCGTTTCTCGTCCGGGAGGATGACATCCTTTGTAAGCTTACTCTCTGACAGTTTGTTATCATCCACAGACGGTTTGTCGGTAGTTTCTGCGATGAAACTTTCCTTCTTCTCTTGTTCCAATTCCTCCTCAATTTTTTCTTCGTTCCTAATATCTGCGGTCTTCCCAAATTCACCTTTTTGTAATACAGACACGTCATTATCCTTAACAGCTCCTTCAACTCCACTTTCGAGAAGTGACTCGAAAAAACTTTCTTGCAGGTCTTTTATTTCTTCCTTAATAATTTCACTGGCCGGTTTCTCGGTTCGCCCTTCTATCTCGGTTTCCTCGATATGCATCACTTTCTTGTCCAGTTCTTTCTCATCATTTTGAATGACATCTTTGCTCACAACGTGCTCTGCTTCAATAGGTTCCGATTTTTTGACGTTCCCATCTATTTCTTCTATCTGGCCCACCTTGACGTGGCCAAGGGATTCGTAGAACCCTTCCTGTAGTTTTTTAATTTCCTCGATGCTAACCGCGCTGCTTTTCCTACGTTGTTGCTGATGGATTTCTTTAATCTCTGCCTCTGAGGCTGAGTCGTCTGATGTTGCTTTACACTTCTCAAAGTCTACCGACTTTGATACATCCGAAACTGCTACCAACGTTTCTTCCAAGGGCTTTACTTTTTCCTCAACCTCTTTTCCGTCTTTCTGAATCACGTCTTTGCCAATCTTAACACCATCAATCGGATGGCATTTGCTGAACTCTACCGAACCAGATAGATTAGAAACAACTTCCAAAGTCTCTTCCAAGTGTCTCACTTCTTCCTCAATCTGCTTTTCTTCCTTCTGAATCACGTCTTTGTCTATCTTAACACCATCAGTTGGATGACACTTACTGAACGATATGGAACCGGCCAGGTCAGACACAGCTTCGAAACTCTCTTGTACGTGCAACGCCCTCTTTTCCAGTTCCTTTTCCTCTTTTTCGATTTCGTCCTTTGGTATCTTGTAATCATCTTCTTCCAAATCTTTCGCTATAGACTCTATGAAACCGTTTTGTAACTCTGCAACTGATTTCTTACGCTGCGCTTCCTCAAGTTCATGCTCCAATTTGTCTTTAATTATTTCCTCTTTGGTTTTGTCGGGTTTCTCCAACGACTCGTAGAAACCATCTTGCAATTCCTTTATTTCTTCTTTCCCTTTAATATCCAACACTTCTTCCTTCTCCGTTGCCTTAGACGTATCCAAAGCAACAGTTTCTTTCTCACCTTCAACTTTTTTCTCCTTTTCAATGGTTTCCTTCTCCTGTTTTGCGGTGTCTGGTTTGTGGCATTTATCAAAAGAAATAGTGCGACTTAGATCCGAAACCGCTTCAAAGCTTTCCTGCATGTGCACTGCCCTTTCTTCCAACACCTTTTCTTCTTTATCGACGATTTCTTTCGGCAACACAAACTCGTCTGATTCTTTGACTTCCGCGCCTTTCCCCGCGGGTTTGACAATTTTTTCAGATTCTATTTTACCCGCTTGGTGATCAACCTCCAAAGTGGTAGGAGTAGTTTTTCCAGAAGATCCCGGTGAACCTAATTTTGTAGCTTCTCGTTTGTCCTCTTCGTGCGCGATCTTCAATTGGTCGATACTGTCGCGTTTCTTTTCGACAGGTTCATCAGGTGAAGACTTTGATTCAGTCGAAGATTCCTTACGTGCTTGAATTACTTTTTCTTCTTTGTCATTAACGTGACTATCTGGTGTAGATTTACCCGAGGAGCTTGGTGAAAATGATTTTGCAGCAACCGCTAAATGATCCTCTTTTTCCAGCGCCTTGCCAACATCCTCTTTCGTTTCCGGAGATGTTTTGCCCGACCGAACCAGGTCCGTTTTTGCTTCTATAAGAGATTGCTTTCTTTCTGGTGCTTCCGGAGATGACGTTCCAGATGAACTTTTAGCTAGAAGTGTAATATCGTTTTGTTTGTCAACAGATTGAGATTTCTCTTCATGATCTTTTATTGCAAGTAACTCGTTCCCTTCTGCTTTCACAGCTTCTTGGTCTTTCACTTCTGGACCTGATTTACCCGACAAAGGAACAATAGTTATTACGCTTGCAGTGTCAATGGCTTGTGGTTTCTCATCAAGCATGATATTTTCTTTTGATGGCTTCCTGCTTAATTCGTCCTTACTCTTGTGTGATGGCTCATGCTTTACCTCTATGGTGCTTTCTTTCTCGACTGGTTCGACCGGTTCTGAAAGTGGCTCCTTTTCTAATTTTTCGGCCGGCTCTTCCTTTTTGACTTCGGGAGTCGCTATGATGGTGGCAACTTTCAGTATGCTATCGGCTTGCGATTTAGCCTCATCTTTTTCTTCAATAAGTGACTGTTTTCTTCCTAATTCTTCTTTTAGATTGGAAGATTCGTCTTCCTTTGTTTCCACGCTATGAGTTTTTTCAAATTCTTCTAAACGTTCAACTGAGGCATCCGTTACGTGCTTAATTACAGTTGCAGTGTCCTCTTTAACTTTCTGTTCGACATTGACCGGTTGTTCTGCTTTTTTCAATAGTTTTTCTTCCCTTTCCTTAAATTCATCTTTTATATCATGTTTAACGTCACCTCCATTTTGTTCTGTTACTTTCTCAATCAACTGGTTTACCTCCTTCAATTCTTTCACACTACTTTCTACTTTGGTTTCGACGTCACTAACCTTCGCTAAAACTTGCTGCTCCGTTTCTTCGAATACCTTCTCTTTGTTCTTATCGGTTTCCGCGATTCCGTTCTTGAGTTTTTCTTCAAAGTCCTGAACTGAATGTTCGATTTGTTCTGCCACTTCCTTGATATCTTTGGCTTTTTCTTCTAGCATATCTTTGGTTTCATTTTTCACTGCTTCAGTCTTTTCTACTAATGGATATTGAAATTCATCAACTGTTTGACCGACTGCCTCTTTCAAGCCTCCAATGTGAGCTTTGACGTCTTCCTCCGCGATCTCAAATTTAGAAACTGTTTCGTCTTTGATGTCTTTCAAATCATCAGTTTGTTTCTTTGCTTCATCTGAGGTCGCTTTAACCACAGACTCCACCGTATCTTTAACGAATTCCTTGGCTGAGTCAAACGTATCTTTTAGAGATCCAAAAATGCCCGTCTTCTTTTCCTGTTCCGCTTCGAGATCGGGCGATCCTCCGCTTTCTTCCACGTCCCGTGAAACGTCCCTGTCTTCCGACTTGGTCTCGTCTATTCCAGAATCCTTCTCTGACACAATCTGCTTCACCGTGCTGAGCGTCTCAGACAGAGTCTCAACTATCGATGACTTTTGCGAAGTTTTCTGAGACGGTTCCGGAGAAGATCTGCCGGAACTTTCGGAACTCCTCGAAAAAGTAATAGTGCCGGGCGGGCAAATTTCAGTTTCTTCTCCGCCATCCTCGCTCGACGCGGTAACCAACATCCTGTGCACGGTACCAGCTTCCTCGCTGTCTCCTTTTTCCAACGTCTTCTCCCTGATGTCTGATATAACTTTCGATGTGGCCGCGATCAGTTCTTGGGATTGGGCGATCAGGTCCCTCTTCTTGTTCTTTGCGTCAGAAAGTTCATCGGCAAGAGTTGTAGGTTCCTCCGGAATGGAAGAAATGTCCTCCGTTTTCATCGATTTGGTCTCCAAAACTGGCGAATCCTGCGTGGTTATATGAGTTTCTCGCAGCTCTTGAGTGAACGTTGGTAAATTTGCTTCGAAAACTTCCAACGGTGCCGGGGATTTAAGTACTTCGGCTACACCTGCGACAATCTTTTTGACCTCTTCCTCGCGCTCTTGCGGAGATTTCCTTCCTAGTTCGGCTTTGTCGATGTCCTTCAACTCTTTTAAGATGTGCAAATCATCATCTTCCGGTGACGAATCGGGAAGGGTCACTTGCTCGGCGTGTTCCGGACTTAGCGAAGTTCCCGTCTTAATTTGAAGCTCGGGCTTCGCATCGGCGCCGATTTTAAGTTCTTGAAGCTTCGCGTCAATTGTTTCCAATTCGTGGGATTCCTTTTTAAGGTCTTCCGCCTTACTTAAAACCTGTTTGGAGTCTTCTTCTATGTTGCGCAGCACAACCTCTTCTTGGTTTGCATCCAATTTCTGATCGAGTTTGCTCCCATCCTCCTTATTTTCTCCCAACGGCGTAGATTCTATTAATCTGGTGTCTTCAATACCTGACTTTTGCTCGAAGACTTCCTCATGAGTCGTTTTAAATTCTTGTGTGTCCGCTTGTTTCTTTTCTTTCCCAGTATCGCTGACTGTTGTTAGGGTCTTGTCCTCCAGAACTTCCCCTTGAATGTCTTTCGGCTCTTGTGACTCCTTATCCAGTTTTGACATTTCTTCTTTCACAGCACTACCGTCTGGTTTTTTGTCACCGTCGCTAGTTTCCTCCTCGAGAGGAAGTTGTGACGCCTGTGGCTTCCCGACAACTTGTTTAGCTTCGATATGGTGGTGATCTTCGCTAATAATCGGCTCCTGCTCGACGGCTTTATCGATCGCAACTTCCTTATTTTCGTCAACTACTTTACTGGGGATTGTTTTAACAATTTCACTGCTCGCCTTATTTTCATCTACTTCAGAGGTTTGCTTTTCTTTGGTAACAATCTCCTCAACTTTTGCGTCTCCGGTTGTATCACTACTTTTTTGTTCTACCGTTCCTTTCTTCTTGTCTGTTGTGTCCATATGGGTTTTTACAGTAGAAATCGTGTCTTCTTGAATTTGATCAATACCACCTTGTCCAGCTTGGGTGTCTACAACAGGTGCAGGTAAATCATTTATGTCCTCATTTAATTTGGCATGTTCCTCTTCCGATTTTTCTATCTTCGCGGCAGATGTTTCAATAATTTCTAAATCTTCGGCTTTATTGAGTTCGGTTTCTGTAATTTGCTCGATAATTTTTTCATCCTTCAAGGCTTCTTTCAAACTTTCCACTTCTTTAACGTCAACTGTCTCCTTTTCGGATTCTTTGGCATCTTTGTCATTTTGCTCAATATCCTCATCTGCCTCTATTTTACCCGCTTCTTTCGTTATTACCACCCACTCGTCGTCCATAGTTTCGTCGAGCACTTCTTTTGAAACTTCGGGTTCGGCAACTTCTTTTTCTTTGGTTTCTAGATCAGCCTTCTCCAATATATCACTAGTTTCCTCCTTCTCGACGTGCTTTGAGGAATCAATCTTTTCAAGATCCTTTTTCTCGTGCTCTGTCATCTTCTTCACGTCCCCGACGTCATTAGTTTTCTTACCCTCGCCAGTGTATTCTTGGAAGTCAACTTCTTCGTGGACCGGTAAATCAGCAACCTCATCAGGCGTCTTCACGATGTCCCTGATGTGACTCTGCTTATCAAGCCTGATCCCCACCACTTGAGGAAGTTTCGACAAGTTGTCGTAGCTCTTCGGTGGAAGTTGTATCACCGGTATTTCCTTCTCCTTGGTTTCTTCCTTCACATGCTTTTCTTCGATAACCTGCCCACTGTCTTCTTTAATTTCGTCCAGAGTAATCCTCTCGTCTTCTGGAAGCGTCGGAGCTGTAGTGGTGGCCCCAGATTCGATATTAGCAGACACTTTTTCTTCCGGATGCGACTCAATCACCTCTTTGACTTCGTCTTCGTGTTCTTTCTTTTCGACCGCTTTCTCTTCGGGAGATGAGATGCCGGTTACCTGCTTAACTTCCTCTTCCTTTTCGTCGACGCTTTCCGGCTTAGCGTCGACCATTTGCTCTTCCGCGCTAAGTTTTCGTTGCTTCTCGGATTCCTCACTGTCCCTCGTCAATTTCTGCATTTCGTCCTCCTTCACTTCTAGCGAGTCGTGCTCCAACTCCTCCTTTTCGATTATGAGGTACTCTTCTGTCTCTAGTTTTTCCTCTATCGAGATGTCTTTGATTTGTCTCAAGTCCGCGTCGATATCGGACGAAGGAATTTGCTCCTCTCCTTTCCTAAACACCGCTTCGATTTCCTTGATCGCCTCTTGTTCCTCTTTGAGTTCGGCCAGTTCTTGAGCTTTTATTTGCTGAATTTCCTCCGGGGTCAATTTCGAGAGGTCCTTCTTAAGTACACTTTCTTGGTCCGCAGACGGAGTGCTCACCGTGCTCGAATCTGTCGTTCCCTCCTTATCCAATTTGCCCCGTTTCGAAAGGGAGTCCGGCTTCTGGACACCATTGGTCAGCTAAAAATGGTTATGTTGAATGTTCGCTGGTTTCTAGCGCTCGACGTCAGCTTACCTTCTTAACAGGACTAAGAGGTGCTTTGGCAGCTTTCGGCCGTCTGGAAATGGGCTTCCTCTCAACTTTCGGTTTCGGTTCGGGAGGTGCCGCTGCCTTAGCAGCGACTTCTTTCTTCGGGGGCGCCTTTTTCGCTTCGATGACTTTCCGGTTGTTGGCGTCTTTGGTGCTTTTAGCTGGGGTCGCGCTGGGCGAGGCCCTGCGGGCCAGCTTCTTCTCCTTCTCCTTATTCTCGCCGTTCACTCTATTGTCGACAGTCTTCTTGGGCGTCGGAGGACCTGTAACGAACGGTTAATGAAGTCACCCCTGACCAACGAATGCGCCGAGATACCTTTTTTATCGACAGCTGGTTTCCTCCTCTGTTGACTGTCGCTCCTCTGCTTGGTCTTGTTCTCCGGCACCTTGGGCTTCGATTTGGCCTTATCTCCGTTCTCCACCACCTTGTTCACCTCGTCCGGTTTCTTAGCCCTTCCACTTTTCTCGCTCTCTATCGAATCCGACTTGATCACCTGCTTCTCTTTAACGACGTCCCCGTTCATATCGCCATTCTTCAAGCCGTCTTCGATTTTTTTCTCCGCTTGCGGCTTTTCCCGGATCATCATCTTCTCGATGACGTCATGTTTGGTCTTCTTGGCCGGCGCTAGCGATTTTTCGCTGCACACCGCGTGCTTGATGTATTCCAGGCCGCGAAGCCGATCCAACCCTTCGAAGATCTTTTTCTGGGGAGTACTGCCGGGGTACAGTATCCGCGTTATAGTATCGTTCGGATTGGCCGGTTGCCAGATCAGCAGAGCGCAAATCGACACCAAATTCGGCAGAGGAAATACAAACTCTTTCCCCGTTCTAGCAGCGGAGAAGAGCTTCGCGTCGCTCTGGTTCCATTTCTGAAGGAAATCCCTGACGTCCTTGGAATTGCGTTCCGGCGACAACACGTACATGTTGAGAGTGCCGTGGCCTACCTTGTGATACAAAATAATCGGTTCCGTATCTCTATAACAAAACTGAGGGGTTAAGTTAAGGTGACGCAAGTCGGACACGATCGATTGGCCTTCGTCGAGGAGACTGATGATAAGTGGGTCCCTATCCTTGTCGCCGTCCGGACTCAAAATCGACTTCCTCTCCTGCGGAATAAAGGAAAATGTCTTCTCGGAATGGGCAGATGTGTCAGAGTTTACCTGGATGTTGCAGAAAAAGTGGCCTATTTGGGGGTAAACGGCGCCGTCGCGTTTCCGCTTAAGTACAGAACTAATACCTCTAACACTACAATTGTTCAGTCTGGACATTAGAACCGCATCTAACCTATCTAAGTGGCGGACAAAGTCCCAAAAGCATGCCTTGCGCGAGTAGCCTCCATCGAGAAGCATGTTGAAGCCGTTGATGCCGAACAGAGCGGCATCTCCCTGACCACCTGCAAGTGAGAAGCTTGGAGCGAACGCTTCATATCTGCATTTCGACGTCGACGTCGTGTTTCAGTTTAAATTGACACGGTACGTAACTTCTTCGGGCTGTCGAAAAACGTATATTACGACGTTTTGTGTTAAAGCCCTCGAATTACGACGATGTCATTTGCGGCGAGGTATAGAGTTCGATTTGCTAATGAGAAGGAATAATATAATCTCATTATACGCGCAAAAAGGCAACGGACCAAGCGAATTTGAATATTGCCTTTTTTCTCAACCGCCAACCTTTCGGATTTAGATAGTTAAAATAGTATTTAATATTTATCAATAATAAAAAGGATATATCGGGCTATATTTTGGTTAGTTATCGTATACTTCAACCAAAAATATAGTGCTTTTACAATCGACCCCGTGATTAACTTTGCCTAGTGTTTATTCTTGAAATATGTACATAAAAAAAAATTGTACAAAGTAACAATTTATTATGTTCAATTTCATTACATACAAAATATTAAATATAATAACCTAGTTCAGTGATCGAGTCCGCCACTAATCGTTCTCGATAAATACTTGCTTCTTATATTCCCGTTTTTCACAGTTAGACCAGTTTTGCACTAATATTTTAGCTACCTCTTGAAGAATTACGTTTATGGTACTATCACTAAATTTTGGTGCAGTGTTATTTCTCCTTGTGTATACGCTTTCAACTCAAAAGTTCATGTCCGTTTTTTTGTGCCATCGAATCGATTTTGTAGTCTTTATTAAATTGTTTTTTCTAATTTGGGCTAGACATTATCCAACACAATGACAGTATTTGGCGATAGTTTTGGCAATAGTTTATTTTCATTTCATTTTTCATTCATTTATTTTGACTTTTTTGGCAGACATAAATAGGTCATCTTCCACCCTATGCGAAGGAGGCTCGTCTAGTACACACTTGTTACTGTTATCACACCGTCCTTTTTTTTACTGTGTCTTGAGTGTCGAACCACATTTCGTGTAAATACAGTATAGGCCTCAATTTCAATTGCATTTAAATAATCCTTAAAATATTGTTGTTGTTTACAAATTGAAAAACTATGTAGAAGAAGAATGTTGTTAATCGACAGGCACACAAGACAAAAATGATTCAGTGAGAACAGCCTTCCAGGGTCGAAGCTCGAGAATCAGGTACATAAATACCTACTTAATGGATGGATCACGGTCAAATATCTCCGTAACGATATATATCACCTGATGTTAAAATAAACGCATCAAGGCTTAATCAAATTTAATACGGCCCATGTACGTGTCAAATAAAAATTCAAGTTTCTACAAATATTCGTTATGGTCCATCTCAGGCAATACCTACTTAATGCAAAAAATAAATCCGTTGGGATGGGTTCTACCACAGTCCTGCGAAGGTCTGCGGTTAAGGTACTGCAAAGTACTTAAAACGTCGAAGCAATAAATGCACTATATTTTTGGTCGTATGATACTTTAATACTCCTCAACCAGTGGCGATGAAAGCTTGACGGGCATTTTCCGCAGCCGTTTTCTGCTTGATCGAAATTCTCGAATTTTTAAAATATGAAGAGTGAACTTTTTGGGAGGTTCCACTTTTACCTTTCTTTCCTCAAATCCCAATCATTTTGGAAAGTGCTTTTCGAACTTTCTTGTATCGTAGTACATCATTTCTGAGGCAAACATACACCGATGACTGATTTTTTTACCATTCTTTTACTAATTTACTAAATTTTACTATATCGTCGTAAAAAAAATGACGTAATATTTTTAGCACGCCATTAAGAGGATTACTTAGTTGTGTATGTTGCCCCATTCATATTGTTTTATTGATGGCTACCCTTTCGGTCGATGTGAACGCGTCCCTAATAATAAACAACCGCCGCGGGTGCGGGCTTGGAATCGCGTGACCGGCCATTTTGAAGATGTACTGACGCCAGGGACTTTTTCATTGAACGAATGCGAAACAAACTCCGACCTTAATTAAGTCATTAAATCGAGCTCTAATGATAATTAATCACAAAAAAAGTACCTGGGAAAACGTAAAGCGTGGGCCGGGAAAATCTAATATTGCCAACCACGTCGGAACTCTCGAGGATGCTTTCCAGCGACGTGGGCACTAAAAACGGCGATAGATACTTGACAAAGCTCGTAATGGAAGGCGACCCTGTCGTGAGGACGTCCGTCGGGTTTACCCGAACCTAAAAGTACGAACGGTAAATGAATCAAACAGTTGCTAGCAAGTTACTGATAAAAAATACATGAACGTTTTTCAAAAAAAAGGTCTGAAATATGGCAAGTGGTTGTGTTAACCCTGTAAACGAAAAATCAATGTTAATCTGTTTTCTCGCTAATTCTCCTCAACAACGATCGGTCCAATTCAACTCCTTTGATATATCTTTTTTACCACCTTTCAAAATCGGAGAAATAGCAAGTGTCGGCAACATCTGACCTAATAAAGCGCCAACCCTAATTTGACCCGCTTGCAAAATTAATTAGTCGCCTCACTCGATAGAGACGGCGTATCGGTTACTGAAACCGCCGCCTCAAAACGATGTTGAATTGCCATATCCCATATTCGTAATCGTCAGAATGTGGTGAAAATCCCTTTAATAAAACTGCCTATCGTAAATTGCTATAAATACGTTCTTTGAAAAAAAACTGAAATTGCACAACATATAACTAAAATCAGGGGCACTATACCTTGCATGATTTGGTGAACGCCTCCTTCGGCAGCCTGCTCCATTCACCTTCGGGACTGCAGTGCAGGTCTACCGATATGCCGTTCTCGTAGGCTCGAATCACCCGCTGGACTTCGATCTCCTGGAAGGCTTCGGCAAAATCCACGTAGGAGAACGTACCATCCTGATAAAAAAAAAGAAATAGATAACAGTGGAAAGCATTGGTGGAATCTTTGAAACTAGGTTTGCTTGTGGGTCGAAAAATGCACTAAAGAAAGCCGTAACGAGGTATATGACAGCCGGTGACCGGAAAAACACTTCAATGGTTACCAAATTCCGGGAAAGGGATGGATTGGAAGGGAAAGCGAAATAGGAGAGGGAGATGAACAGTAAAGCCCAAATAAGTGCCAAAAAATTATGAATGATTATGATATTAAACAGGCTAACCAGCCAGTGCGAACTAAAAAAAAATCAGGGGATGCGCGACAATTCAAAATTTCCCACCAACAGTGGCTTAGAACCGGCTCGACTATACTACTACCGCCACTGCTACACTCCATTACCTGTAGCGCCCACGATCCGTTCCCCTGGAAGGTGTAGCCAGCGTGAATGATGTGCCTGTGCCTCGTGAAGCTGCTCAGCAAGTTGCGCACACATTGGGACAGAGTATTGACGGCAGGATGAATCAGAATTTCCGTCACCAAGTTTTCCGACGCGAACTGTATCAACCGTTCACCTATACAACAATCAGTTGATTACTCAAAGTCACCCGACAAAGATCAAACGAACCGCTTCCTTTAATCATTAACCAAGGGCGGTTTTGGAACATTTATCCTCGTCAGAAACGCCCGAACACGAAAATATTTGACGTTAATTGGAGTTTTTCGATTAGGTTTTATGACTATAATTTAACGCATCGCTTTCAGCGCGGAGTAAAGTTCGATGGGAAACTGAGAACCCGACCAGAATGCGATGTGTTGAGAAAGTTTTACTTGTGCGACATAATAATATTAAACTGTCATTGTTAAAAATGAAAATATTACAATATAAATTGTAATACAAGAGTTGAGACATTTGCAAATTGCGCTCTTCCATGTAATCACAAGAGCCAAGACAAGAGCACCAACAAAATACAAGAAATAGACGCACATCATAAACTCATACGCTTTTGCTAGATACTAGCGGGCCTAATAAAGAAGACTTTATTGTGAGATAGGACCATATAGCGAATCAGCGTAGGTCTATGATTTAGTGCGCATTTTCCTAAAACAAAAGCCCAATTATTCTCTAGGCCCTTGTTGCGAACCTTGTACAATTCTAGCTAATAACAACGCGATCTTCCCCGACAGAGATTGACGCACATGTAATATGGAAAATTTTAATGAGCGCGACGGAGACATGGATAAGCCGCCAACATAAATTACCATTTCGCTTCCGATTCCGAGCGCCGAACTTTGCGAAAACTTTCCGGCGATGAATTTTCCTTAACTTATTACACGAGTTCGCCGACTTTTTAAGAAAACGCTTCAGTAGTAACGATACGTAACTTCTGCACCCCCGAGTCCTAACCAAAAATGTAGTTTCGCCACTCGTCGACAGATGACACCACAAACGAAATTTCAGAATTGTGTTTGGTTAGTTCGGAATCCGTAATTTCGTTTGTGCTGACGTCTGCCGTTACTTTTTGATCGATACACGCATCAATTTATTCATTTAAATTAAAACTGCAGTCAAAAAATAAAAAATCTAACCTATGATTCTGCAATGCACACTGTAAATGAATCGATTTCACCAAAGAATAGGCTGACCAAAGTACAAAACAACACAAATATCCAATGACCCAAGATATGCGAAGTTTATTAGGTTTTTATTTTTCTAACCTAGCGGAAGAAGACTTCGGCAAAATTTAATCAACCCAAGATATGCATATTGATTAAACGCGGTTTTTGCAATTGGCAATAGAATCAAGTAGGTAACCACGTTATACTTTTTACGCAACAACAGTATTCTTGCCAATATTACATTGGATTATTGTACCTGTTCAAAGGAACCTCTTACAAAATAAATACAAGAAAGGTTAGCACCGAACAATAAGATTAGTGGCATGAACAAGATTTTTGAGATTAAGATTTTGTTAGTCTAGATTACAATAATCCTCTGTAAATTTCCTAAAGGTGGCCTCTCACAAACATTTTTAACAGCCACTTTTTGGCCTCCGATATTTATTTGTGTTTCATTACAAGCGGAAGGATAAAAATGATTCAACATTTTCACTATCTAGTTATTAATCATATGTAAATTTTCTGTTACAAATCGGGAACAATCTCCTCCAGAGGCCGCTCAAAATCGGCATTGATAATATCAGGTCAGTAAGCAAGTTGGTTAAAGTTCTCCATTATTATTGCGATTTTGGGGCTAGATATTAATTTCGTAGAATTTATTTTAACATGTACATTTTTAACTTTAAGTTCTCCAAAATTTAAGAACGGCGATGCAGGAGAAAAGATACGTGGAATTACTCGAATCTTCCGGCAAATCGTCCAAGCGGATCGATCGTCATGCGAAGAGCTTTTCTATTTTTAAGGACAAATCCGAGACTATGGACAGGCGAGCTTTTATAATACGCCGATAACAATGGAAGAGTTTAATCGAAACTAACGCCTCCGCATGGCAAAATACGAAACGCCTTTAAACGCCCGCTATGAGACCTTTCAGTTAAAGTTAAAACATTAGCGAACTTTAGAAGCGCTTTGGGTTGGGTATATAAAAAATCAATTTTTAATTTAGTCGATTTCTTCACGACTAACAATAAGAATAGTTAATTAAATATTTTCGTTACCTTCCGAGTAATGTTATCTTATATTAATGGTCCACCACCCTATTATACATATTAACACGAAAAACCGTAGTAGTCCTGAAGGAGGAAAAATTGCCGAAAAGTCGACTAAATAAAAAACTGATGGTTTATAAACCGACCGATTCCTTTATATCGAAGGAGAGGCTGTAAAATTCTGTTTTTGTACAGATTTTATTCTGCCCTTATCAAAGGATTCGAATTTAGTTCGATGCAGAGGTCAAACCGAACGTTTTCTTTCAAATTACAAGCCGATTCTGAACTACCAGAGTTTAAAACTTGACAAAAGTCACAATGGAACGAAACACAGAGGGAATGGCGTTAAGTAAATAATAAATGCTCACCGTAACGTGCTTCTTCGCCTTCGAGTCCTTGTTCCGTGATGACTGCCAATTCCTTTTCCAAATCGACCAGGCAATCGTTAAGGTTCCACGACAGGAGACCTGGAAACATTGGACGATATGAATGTTTACCCTTATTGATCGTCGCACCACAGCTGGCTAAGATTTTGGAGGCTTAACGTCAAGTTTGGGGTTTTCCGTCTATTTCTATAATATTTAAAATGTAAAATCAAACGTGTGAGCCCACGAAAAATAAATTAAAAATATACACTAATAAATCACGAATATATACGAATTCACAGCTCAAATAATTTTTAAAATCATTTGTGAGTTATACCCAATGTTATGTTCAGATCATACAAATTGACTTGTATTAAACCTTTTAAAAAGTATATGTATAAGGTACGCCTCCTCTAGCTTCGTCCCCCTCCAAAAATGCATGAGTAATTTTTTTGTTTTTTAAACTTAATTTTATTTTAAACAATATTACTTTTATCTGCTTGCCGTATCGTTACTTTGCGTCACCGTGCCTAATCGTTTTCTATATTATCAAGATAACTGTCCATTAGTAATTGTTGTTATATACGGCCTATTATTAAATTTGTTAATTCTAAATATAAATAAAAATAATTATTATTTCTACGTACTTAAAATCCGCACATTGCTCATTACATTTTAATGCCATCCCGCCCCCGGTTTCATGTACAACGTGTTCGACAGGCAAACAAAGGTTGATAGGTAGATGAGCAACGCCCGGAGCGGCGGAGGGTGTGAGGTGGGGGAGTTTACTCGAATTTAATCGATAAATATTTGCGAAGCTCAATTTCAATAATAATGTTTTACAATGTGCTTCGCCGGGTGCATGTGATTAACCCGCATTTAATCGATGAACCTACGCGATAAAATTATCAATTATCAGCAAAACAACGGCCCAATCGTATAACGATTTCATTTTCATTTTCAAACCCCTGTATTTTTTTGATAATTCAGAAAGATGTGATAAAGTTATCGGCAAGCCAGAAAATGTGTGAGTACGTTTCTTCTAAGACTCATTAGCGATTTAGACAAACTCGGGCTCATTCTTAAGAGAAACGTCAGCGTTTTCAAATACCGGCACTCGGCAATTTGCGTCTCTCGTTTGTTGTCTCGCGAAAATTGCTAAATTGAATTATTTCAATTATCGTATCGTTCTAACGACTTAACCGATTATTTATAAATGATCGTATCTTCCAAAAGTTTTAAATAACTATTCGATTTAGACAAGCTCATGCTCATTCATACATTCGCTATAGAAGCAGTTTTATTTATTTTGTCGGGAAAATTTGAATGCCTTGACGCCGTATTGCGAAAGTAGATCAAATTCGTTAGGAAGACATTTTTAAATAACGAAATTGGATCGATATCCAGATATGGGACGTAATTAGCATAGCAACTACGTAAACGCGTCAGCCAAAGTGGCGACTGTAATTAATTAATGGCAAAATTAGATCCGGCAAATGGAGAATAATCGAATTACGTACGCGTATTAAACAATGTCGATAATCGGCGCGGGTGAATGATATTAAAATAGTTTTTTACGTAACTTTCGTCGCCTTTATCTCCCGTAAACTCGTTTCGATCGATTTTCCCATTAAAGGTCTTCTCCCTCAAGGTTTTCCAAAGCTTCTGCGGAAAACGCGCAACTGCAACTAGTCCCATGTTTTCTAATTTACGATTGAACTGTCAATTCCAATTTTTTTTTTTTTTTAGAAAAATCTAGCAACATAATTTTCCGATCAGGATATGTTTCCTCCGCCGCTCAAATTTTAATCGATTTTTTATGTTTACAATGTTCACTTGTTCTCTGTACCAGGTGGTCCATTAATATAGGACGCCGGCCATAGATCAGGAACCGTTAGCACTACAACTTAGACGAAAAATATTTTCAAGTTCATAAAATGGCCGCTAGGGGGCGTAACCTCTACTGTAAAATAAAAAAAACGGTTTCTCAAAAATATTCCAAATTAACCTCTATCAAAATTGCTTTTAACGTACCCTATGCTAGATAAGCGAAGTGTTTTGCTTGAACAATTTTTTTTGGCTAATCCGATTTCGACGAACTTAGTTTAGTGTGAAAGAGTATTTATAGGAGGTTGGATGGGCATCTTTATATCACGATATTAATTCTTTTACGGGTTATTTTTATGATTTTAAATATAATGGTATAAATATTTTTTGCTAAAATGAAAGAGCGAAAAAAACAGAGAAAGTAGTGGAAACGGCATGGCAATATCTTTTTTCCCCTTTGAGATATAAATAAAAATGTGTTTATTAAACCTATTTTTCATACATAGTAATAGTACCAGAAACGACAGACGTGGCGTGGAATTCTTAAACTTTCTATTAGAGTTAAATTTGATTTTGTAATAATTTGTCCATAATAATCGTCAATAATCAATAACAGTTAAAAAATGATTCGTCAATATAATTTATTTATATATTACATGTATCAGTATTGAAAAAAAGTAACCTTAGCGGTTGTGTTTTTTTTTTTTATTACATGTTACATCCATGTAGTACTTTTCCAGGCTTTAACGAGCCGCAGGTGGGGTGTGAACGGGTGGTGCGGCGTATTGGGTGGAATTTTTAGTGGACCATTCATTCTATAAATATTTTATTTCTAAATTGTAGGACTAACTGAGTTACGGCCGGCATCCTTTATTAATGGGCCACCCGGTACAGTGTATTAATATCGGAAAACAATGTTTTTGTTGAGGTACATGTTTTGTCCTTTATTTTCCTATTTTTGTAAATTATTTCTTTCGACGAGTATCAATTAGCTCAAGTGACCCCCAAAGCTTGCAGTTTTTTTTAATTTGATTGATAACTAATCATCAGCAAAAAACAACTGCATCAAATCGTTCATGTTATCAATATTGATTCCAACAAGACCGCGCGAAACAAATTTTCTTCTAAATCAGCCAAAAATATTGAGTAGAAGAATAATATTTTTGCAATGGATATTGCAAAAATATGCACCCTAATAAAAGCTGCTGGCCCCGCGCTGTTGAAATCATCTCGACATTGTCGCGCACCAATCGACTGCCAAAAACAAAACGATTAAATATACATCAAAGCTCCACGAGGGAATAAAATCGATAGTCAAACCGTTATCGGTTTTTTGCGCCCGTTTTATCACCAGCATTTAATATTTGATGGGCCGTAGTGGTTCCGCGTTTGCTTTTCAGGCCGTCGGGGTTGAATTTACGACAGACTAAAAGTATTCTGCTGCACTCTAGCCTTCAGTCGTCGACCAACATTCTGCCCAAAATGATTCCTACTCTGGCAAGTCCAAGCCCCATCCGGGAATTTATCTGCAGATTGGTCCTTAATGGTCTAAGAGCCAGTGGGCGGCTACCTGCATGTATTTGACCAGACCTGGATTTTTGTACATTGAGGCCCCTATACCTGCTATCCTAAACAGCCGTTCGCAGGGCGGGTTTCTGAGACTCTTTAACAAAGTTTTCAATTCCAGCTCAACGTTGAGCAAAGCAATTTTGCATTTTTCATACATTTCTGGTCGCATTTCAAACCCGGCATATGAGAAAGTTTTTTTAAAAACCACCCCAGCGACCAGCGTTGAATATCTAATAATAACAAAGCATTACAAACAAATCCTCTTTGTTGATTTATAAGTTTAGGACTCATAGCTGTAGCGGCGCACTTTTTCAGCAAAGAACGAAATTCTTCAACATTAGCTTTGTTAATTTTAGCCGCAATTTCAACAAAGTTGAAGAGTTTTTCCAAATGCATAAAACATAAAACGTCTTACAATTGCTAAAGTTTTGGAGGGGATTACCAACCTCCCAGCGTTTACACTCAATCGCCCATGATTTACATCATTCTGAGGGGCGTGTGCTTCAGAGTTCCTGCCAAACGTTTAGACTCCTGCCGCAATGCCGTGGCTCCCGGTTTTATTGTTTGACCTTTAGCGTATTGTAAAACTGTTTTAATTCATTCCACATTACGCTGCGGTTATCCAAGCCAAGAGTTTAGACAGATTTTCTTCGACGTTTGTGAATTTCCGTGAGTGTAAAACAAAGTGCGCGTGAAGAAAATTTATTAAAAGAAAGGAAGAAAAGGAAAAGCGCCAATAAGAAAGTGGCTTAAAATTGTTCTCCCTTGTTTCTTTTACGAGAATTAATATTGAATTCGACACAAAGACACTGTAACCAAAAAATTGATGATTGCAAGGGAAATGGAAAGAAAATGTGGCAGACATTAAAAGGACTTGTTGGAAATAAAAATAAAAAAGCAGATTTTACCAATATTGATTTTGGACATTGATAAAGAAGAAGAAAACATGAATAACTTTTATGCCGATAGCTTAAATGAAATAGCAGAGAGTATAGAAAAGAAGCAATAACGATATCGGCGCTTGAAAAAACTGTAAATAACCTAAAAAATAGAAGTACAAGTAAATATTAAGCTCGCCAAGGATTTATTTTGTGTAATAGGTTATCCGTTGTTATATTTGGTAAAAATAATTATTTTTCAAGATAATAATATTGCTTTCTGATACAAATAGCAGTCCTCGAGGAACCATTCCTTTGCGATCTAAGTTTAATAACACGAAGACATCAAAAGACGCCATTTTATATATTTTATAAACTTTGGAATCTATACCTTTCTAGTTAATTTAAAACATATGTCTTGACATATAAACACATATGACATATAACGTTCTCTCGCGGGTTAGCAATAAAAATAAATTGCTGCGACATGGAAATACGGAATAAACCCAGATTTTTTAAGTCCATTTATTATTTCCATAGAAGGGGATAAACGCAATGAGACGCGGTTATTGTTTCCCGGCGGCCGTTGCTAAAACGAAATATCGTTTGTCACCGTAATCTTCGACTTGCCGCGATGTTTGCCGAAGCGTCGCGAAAAATAATATTTTCCCATAAGCCGCCGACGTCACATAATCTTCCACGCAAGGAGCCGGGTCTCGGTAAATCGATCTGTAATCTCTCAGGCGATACGTTGAGTTTCGAATCATGCCTCGATGCCGTCGACGGCGCCCCCTGGAGGCGTTTTCATCGATATATGTCACCGCACGT